AATATTCTTGGCAATCTCCAGCTAACTCTCCCATACATCTCTTATAAGGAAAAAAAAGAGACGCTAACTGTGCATGCTTGTGACCTAAACATATTGATTTAAAACTACCAACATCTAACAATATACCTTTCAGTTTATTCATAGTTTCCTGAGGTTTTTTTCACTTAATTGGAAGAACTTTGACCATAAGAAATCACCACACTTACCAAAATCCAGGATATTAGTACCGGGTGACGCTAAGGAGATGTGAAAAACAGCTCTCATAAAGCAAGCAATCCATGATATGCTTTCTTAGAATAAAAGATTCTATCTCAGATAAGACATTTCCACTTCTACAGATGATAATAGAATTCAGTCTTCCAGATATCATTAGATCTGCTTCTAGCATTTGACTGAAGGATCTTTAAGTCCCTCAGTTCTATTACAAAAGATTTGAGAAATAAAGAAGTTATCAAACAAGCCACCAATTTCACGAAATATACTAATGAAATTGCTCTGTGAACATGAAGTTGAATTGCAGAATTGCATGCTTTTGTTTTTTGATTATAATTTCATGAATGAGTTTTAAGAAAAAATAAAAATCAAAATTTGTCATTGTAGTTATGTAATATTGGAAGTCACTATCCTTTTAAATAGTTTCAGAAATAGAACTTGTACTTTAACTAAAAAATGTGGTATTCTTTAACAATCTTCTACCTTAGGGTAGATAAAGTTGTTTTATTTGTGTTGATAATAATTATTTCCTTGTTAGTTTAAAAAAATCATTATTCCGGGGGCGGCATCTGTGGCTCAGTGAGCAGGGTGCCGGCCCCATATACCGAGGGTGGTGGGTTCAAACCCGGCCCTGCCAAACTGAACAAGAAAAAAAATAGCCAGGCGTTGCAGCAGGTATCTGTAGTCCCAGCTACTCAGGAGGTTGAGGCAAGAGAATCGCCTAAGCCCAAGAGCTGGAGGTTGCTGTGAAGTGTGACACCAGGGCACTCTACCGAGGATGACAAAGTGAGACTCTGTCTCTAAAAAAAAAAGAAAGAACAAAGAAAAAAGATCATTATTCCTTGTATTAGGACAAAGTTGTTTATTCAAAAAAAATGTTCAAAGTTCTAAATGAATTTTTTTTTTTTTTAGACAGAATCTCACTCTGTCACCTTAGGTAGAGTGCTGTGGTGTTGTAGTTCACAGCAACCTCAAACTCTTGGGCTCAAATGATCCTCTTGCCTCAGCCTCCCATGTAGCTGGGAGTACAGGCACCTGCCACCACACCGAGCCAATTTTTCTTTTTTATAGTAGAGATAGGGTCTTGCTTTTGCTCAATCTGGTCTCCAACTCCAGAGCTTGAATGTTCCTCCCACCTGGGCCTCCCAGACTTCTAGGATTATACGTGTGAGCAACAGTGCCCAGCCCCAAATGAATTCATTCTTATAACCAAAATTGGTGACATTCCCCCTTGGGATCATGTTGGCATTGAAGAAAGGAGGCTCTATGACCTATACACTGTGGGGTGCGGAGGACTAGGGAGTGCATGGGGTTTGCCCAAGAGTGAACAATGAGCAGTGCACTGTCTTTACAGATTTTAAAACAGTGGAAAATCCAGACTAAAAGCCTCTCTGCTATTTTTTATTTTTTATTGCCATGTTCTTAGTGACAAAATATATCTCTTTGAAAAAAGTGTATTGTTAATCTAAATTAAGACAAAAATCCCTGTGGTTACTATTTGAATTTTAATAAAACAGATGTAAACTTCAAATTAGCACATTTCTACCTCCTGTTTTTTTATGTCTATTTTCTATTTGTATGTCCTGTGTTTTTTTTCCCCCTGTGGGGAAGATCATTTAAAAGACTCTCAGTGCTGTCCCCCAATCTCTCTCTCTCTCTCTCTCTCGATCTCTGTCTCTACCATCTCTATTTTTCTTTGTCTCCTGTTTCTTTCTTTTTTGCTTCTCTGTTTCACACACATACACATGAAGACTGAGCTACATGC